TATTGGGAGGATTAAATGAGAACGTCCATTTATAGTGTCTGGCACTAAGACTCAGTGAGCCCTGGTGTGGCGCTGTGGGATAAAACACTGGACCACAAGGCTGGCAGTTCAAATTCACTGGCCATTCCTTGGAAATGCTATACAAGGTTGCTATGAGTCAGAACCAACTCGACGGCATTTCACAACAATGTAAGAGTCAGTCGGTAGATTTTAGGAAGATTCATGGGGACGGGGAGATTAAATGGTGAAGCCCACCATGAAGGAGCCCAGGACGTATAGAACCTAAGGTCCTGGTGGTGCAATGGTGAAGCATCAGCTGCTCATCAAAAGGTTGGACGTTTGAATCCACCCAGTGACTCCATAGAGAAGATGGTTGTTATTGCGTCTGGCTGAGTCAGCTCCGGCTCATAGTGACCCTGTGTAGTGTTTTCGAGCGCGGCTGGTGGGTTTGAATTGCCAACCTCGTGGTTAGCAGTCCAGTGCCGATTACAGTCAAGAAAACCACAAGGGACTCGAGTCAGAATCAACTTGACAGCCCCTGACACAACCGTGCAGTCTCTAGCTGACGAGAGGACCCTGATTTATGGTGAGACCACGTGAGCCAGAGGAGAACTGCACTCCATAGACTTTCAAGGGCTATGACCTTTTGGAAATAGATTGCCAGGTCTTTCTTCTGAGGTGCCTCTGGGTAGATTCAAACCACCAACCTCTCCAATTAGTAACCAAACTCTTAACTGGCCCTCAGTATTTAACATACATTTTAAAATAGGAAGGCAGGAGCCCATTCCGTTTTTCAGCATAAGCCTTAACCTTGTCGTTGGGTCCAAAAGCGTCAGGAGGAGGGTCCACAAACAGCAGAGGGCAGGTGAAGAGTTGGGGCAGGGAGAAGCTGCCCTTGAAAATCATTCACTAGTCTTCCCTCCTCCCTTCCACATCCAGCCCTGCCTCCCTCCTCCAGGGGCACTGGTCAGTCTCCCCCTTGGTCCCTCAGGCTCCAGCTACAACACAGAGTAATCGTGTCAGGGGCAAGTGGGGGAGTCAGACAGGCTGTCTCAATGCTGGCTCCTTCTCTTACCATAGCTTCTCCGTCTCGGACCTGCTTCTCCTGGGTCAAGTGAAGGCTGATGTCGGACTGATGGGGGGTGGGGTGCAGGATGGGACGCTAACAGCATTCCCTCCTGGCAGATTATGTAGGTTCCAGCCTTGGGTCCCGCTGCCCAGCTCCGTCTGCCCACAGTGCCCCCCTCCGGGCACACAGACCTCAGGCTCTGCCCCACCACTGCCCACCCAGCTGCCCCATCACTGCGGTGCTCCCTCCTCCCACCCGACCCGACTTGGACTCTCTGAGGCCCTGGGGAAGTGTCGCCGTGAGCTGTTTCCAGTTCATGGCCCAATGCCTGGCATTTGATAGACTGGTAATTGATCAGTGTTTGTGGGATTCCTGCATGCTGGACCCAGAGACAGGCCGGGAGAAGGTCAGAAGACTACATTCTCCCTTCATCCCAGGTCAAGCCCACAACTTGTCACCTGCCCCAGGTGGTCTGCTGGGAACCTCCCATGGGAACCAGGAAGTAAGATCACATTGTGGTCCTACTATGTGCAGAGCAGTGTATTGGGTGCCGGGACTTATTGCTGTTAAGTGCCGTTGAGTTGGCTCCAAGTCACAGCAAGTGAGTCTGAACAGCCTACCTCGCGATTCAAACCAACTTTGCAGTCCAGTGTTTATCCTACAGTCAGTGCCAAACCAGGACTCCTGTGACGTATGCTGGTTATCCTGGGAAATCACCACTCGTCTGCAGTTTGCTGTGCCCCTGAAACTGGCTCTTGAATGAATTGTAGCTAAAGCGAATTGGAAAAAGGATAGAAGAGCTGAACAGAAGACTGCAAAGGAGAGTTTAAGACAAAGTCAAGTATGATACTGGAATGTGCAAAGACCTGAATTACAAAACTTACAGGGAAGAACTCACTCAGTATTTCTCAAGCTTAAAGGAATGAAGACTCAATCAAGCCTCAAGCTGCCATATTAAAGGACTGTACGGGCAGTGGCTCTGTACAGTGAGCACTGAACTGTGTACTTAAAGGTCGATGGTTGGAGCCCACCAGCTGCTCCATGGAAGAAAGATCAAACTTTTTGCTCCAGCAAAGATTTACAGCCTTGAAAACCCTACACAGGGTCACTGAGTCAGAATGGACTCAACGGCATTTAACAACAATGGGAAAAATATTGAATGATGCAGGAAGTGTGGAAAGAAGATGGAAGGAATGCATAGTATCCCTGTAACAAAAAGAACTGGTTGACATTCAACCATTTCAGGAGTAGCAGATGATCAAGATATGATGTTACTAAAAGAAGTCCAAACTGCACTGAAGGCATTGAAGGGGAAAACAAGGCAAATGGATGGGAAACAAATTAAGATGTTTCAAAAACCAGATACAATGCTGGAAGCGCTAGGCTTTGTCAAGAAACCTGCAAGACAGCAACCTGGCCAACCGATTGGAAGAACTCCGTTGTGCCCATTCCAAATGAAGGTGATCCAGTGGGAAGTGGAAATTCTCCTTAATATCACACTGGAGTATAGGAAAATCAGTCAAAACTATTGTAGCCGTGAACTGCCAGAAACTCAAGCCAGATTCAGAAAAGGACACGGAACTAGGGATATCATTGCTGATGTCAGATTGGTTTTTGGCTGAAAGCAGAGACTATCAAAAAGATGCTTATCTGTGCTTTATTGCCTCTGGAAAGACATTCCACTGTGTGGCTCATAACCAACAGAACATTTCATTGTGTTCATGCAGAACTTGTACATAGACCAAAAGGTAGTTATTCAAACAGAACAAGGGGCTACTGCTTGGTTCAAAATCAGGAAAGGTGTGTGTCAGGCTTGTATCCTTTCACCATACTTACTCAGTCCATATGCTGAGCAAATAACCAAAGAAACTGGACTATATTCGTGAAGAACACGGCATCAGAATTGGAGGAAGACACATTAACAATCTGTGATATGCAGACGACACAACCTTGCTTACTAAAAGTAAGTAAGACTTAAAGCACTTACTGATGAAAATCAAAGACTGTAACCGCAAGCATGGATTACACCTCAACCTAAAGAAAAGAAAATCCTCACAACTGAACCAGTAAACAGCATCATGATAAACAGTGAGAACACTGAAGTTGTCCAGGATTTCATTTCACTTGGATCCACAATTAATGCCCATGGAAGCAGCAGTCAGGAAATCAAATGACGTATTGCAATGGACGAATTTGCTGCAAAAGATCTCTTTAAAGTGTTAAGAACCAAAGACATCCCTTTGAGAATTAAGGTGCGCCTGACCCAAGCCATGGTATTTTCAATCACCTCATATGCATGTGAAAGTTGGACAACGAATAAGGAAGACCGGAGACGAATTGATGCCTTTGGACGCTGGTGTTTGTGAAGAATATCGAATATGCTGTGGACTGCCAGATGAACGAGCAGTCTGTCTTGGATGAAGTGCTGCTCGAATGCTCCTTAGAAGTGGGATGACACCTTGCTTCATGTACTTTGGACATGTCATCAGGAGGAACCAGTCCCTGGAGAAGGACACCATTCTCGGTAGTGGGTCAGCGAAGGGAGGAAGATCTCCAATGAGATGGACTGACACAGGGGCAGCAGCAATGGGCACAAACATAACACTTGTGAGGATGGCGAAGGACCAGGCAGTGCTTCATTCTGTTGTGCACAGGGACGGAGCCGACAGCGCCTAATACCATCATGGTAAATCCTAATGCAAACTGGGCACATGGGGTTCAATTACTGATCTCAGGTTCTTAAAACTCAACGTCACAGACCTTAAACTCTAACAGACTGGGTCCAGTTTACCTTCCAAGCACAAGGTCTCCCTGACTGAAATGTTCGCAACTTACAAAGCCACTCACAGGTTCTCTGTCCCTCACTGTCAAGTCCAGTGTCTGAGTGCATCTGGCTGCAGCTAGACAGCCAGAGCCTTTACTCAGGTGGACAGAGGGCACAGGGCTGCACAATCCTGCCACTGGGAGTGCACCTTAGAGGTTCATACAGCCGCAGGTCTTGCACACTCACTTACAGACAACTCTCAGAGCACACGGGGGCAGGTGGGAAGAGACTGCAGGGCTGGCAGGGACCTCTGCCTCCCCTCCACGCCTTCCACCAAGGGCTGTGTATGTGGGGAGCCCCAAATGGTGAAGTTTTCAAACAACACTGCACAACGAAGGCTTCTGATTGTCAGTTTATTGTGCCTCCCAAGTTCAGTGTGGACAAGAGGAGGCTGGCCCTTCTCGGCTGGTGGAAAGCCAGGAAAGGGGAAATAAAACCAGTCATCCTGAACCGTGGGCCCCGGTCTCTTGGGGGGGGGGGGTGACTGTGTGTGTCCCCAAGCTCAAGTCTCCTAAGGGGGGTGGCTGTGTGTGCTTCCAAACCCAGGGTTTCTAAGAGGGCTGGCTGTGTGCACACCCAAACCCAAGTTCTCCGGTACTGTGTATGTGCGCTCAAACCCAGGGTCGCTAAGGGGGTGGTTGTGTGTGCCCAAAGCCAAGGCTACAAGGGAAGAGTGTGAGCCTGGCTGAAGGGGGCAGAATGCTCAGGAGAAAGCTGTACTCCCTCCTAGCTCGCCCCTAACATGGGAGGGGATCCCAAGAAAGTAGCTGGGGAACTTCACTGCTGACATGCACCCCATGACTGTGGGAGCTGGGTGGTGCTCTGTAGGTCAGCCAGAAAGCACCAGCTGGCTCCCGCCAGGTCACTGTCCACAGGTGACTGTCTTCCTTTTCTCAGACTGATGCGGATGAATGCTGAGGACATCCAGCAGGATCCCTGCTGGGTCTGGAAGCCTCTCTCTGAGTCTGGCAGCAGAGCGGTAAGGCGGTGTGAGTATGAGTTGAGGGAACTGATGTGGGTGTTTTTTAGAAGCAGAGGACACAGGGACAGGGTGTCTGTGCTGAGGAGGGAAGAGGAGATGTGGGGTGAGGTGGGGTGGCGGGACCCCTAGAGCTGCGGGCCAGGTGGCTCGGTGGGCGCCTCCTCCACAGTCCCGGGCATGTAGAAGATGAACTCGGAGGTCTCGCCGCCCTGGGTGTACACCGTCACCGTCTCGATGCCCTCCACGTCATCCGCTGACACCACCAGGTGATGCTCCTCAGCCAAGGTGGGCTGCAGGGTCTCCTGGATCATGACCGTGTGGTTGGAGCTGGGCTCTTCGTTGGTCACCTGGTGGAGGGTGGGGAGAGGAGAGAGACAGGCCACAGGGGCCCCATATCACGCTCTGTCCCAGGACCTTGTCTACATGGCAGACCATCCTCTCAGCCGTTTCAGAGACGAGCAGGCAAAGGTCAGCAACGCCAAGGGCCAGAGCCCCAGAGGTCAAACCCGAGCCCAAGCTCTTTTCTGACACCAAGCTGGCAGGAGGCCCCTGAGATGTCTGAGGGACAAGTTAGAAGACTCAGTGGAAGCTGCTGATTGTCACAGGGTCCTGGAAGTTTGCAGACAAGGGTCTAGGTTGGTAGCACAGTATGTTTTCCTGCAAAACTGGACACTCCACGAGATCGGTATTATAGGGCCGGAGTAGACGGCCTCATGACACTGATCCTGCCCAGGTGTTGTCCACCAACACCATAGTCCCTCCCACGTGGGGTTTACGCGGCTGGCAGCAGTTCTGACTTGAGGTCCGGCAGTTAAGGCATCGGGTGCACACTTGCTAAGTAGCCAGCCCGGCCCTTCTCTGCCAGCTCCCAGGAGACCGATTCACTGAGTCCTGGTGGGTGCTAGGTGAAGGGCTGCAGGCACGGTGAAGGGTGAGTGGGCAGATGCAAAAGGAAGCCCCAAAGTGAGAGTCCACAAGAGCCTGAGGGCCGCCGGACAAGCCAATCCGTTTCCAGGAGGCTCCCAACAGCAAGAAGGAGAGGACTCAGCCTTCTCCGGCTAAACCGGACTCCACACCAGCTCCTCGCCTCCTGAACTGAGCGGCCCTACAAGGTACGCCCCATGCAGCCTTCAGGTTTTCTCATCTGCTGAATGAAAATGAGGGTTTCTGGGAGAACGGAAGGAGATTCTGCATGTGAAACCAAAAGCTAACCGCAAACCGTCAAGTTGACTCTGACTGGCAACCACCCCACGTGTGACCGGGTGTAGCTGAGCCCTACTCGGTTTCCTTGGCGGCCACCCCACGTGCGACCGGGTGTAGCTGAGCCCTACTCGGTTTCCTTGGCGGTCATCTTTACAGAAACAGACAGCCAGGGCTTTCTTCTGTGGCTCCACTGGGTGGCTGCAAACCATCAACTTTTGCATTAAAGCAAAGCAGCGCATACCGACATCACAGCCCCTTCCACACCTCTGACCTTTCCCCAGGTCAAGGCCACTCTGGGCAGTCCACTCCTGCCGGCATGTCACCCTTAATACTCCAGGGCACCACCTGCTCTCTGGGGTTTCACTCCAGCCCTGGGACTGTCGGTTACCCTCCAGTGACTCCAGAACAGCCACATCTTCAGTCACCGGTGTACTCGAGCCCATGGGTGCTCTGAGGACCTCTTCACCAGCTGCTGCTGTGGCTGGGTGCCATCAAGGTGCAAGTGGTGCATCTGAACCAGTGACTTTGTGGTTCCAAGTCCAGCGCTTACAGGCTAAGAGTCAGCACCACGCCAGGCCTCTCGGGATTAGCAGGCAGATTTCACGTTCCAGTGCTGCTCCGACATCACTGCCACCAGGTGTCTTGGTGTTGCTCAGTCGCCTTCACAGGTGTCAGCGGCACAGGTAACCAACCGGCTGCTCACCTGCCCCGAGTCTCACTGATATCCTCACAAGTTTCCAACCTGCAGGTGGTGCCCGTGCAGAAGCCCATGACCCATGAAGTTAATGTCCTGGTATTCCACTGAGGAACACCAATGCCACACACAGCTAATGACATCTCAGCTACTTATCGGCAGGTTGGTGATGCAAGTCTCCCTGCAGGCACCTCAGAAGAAAGTCCTGGCAATCCACTCCCTAACAACCAGCCATTGCAAACCCTCTGGAGCAAAGTTCTACTCTGACACTCCTGGGGTCACCAGGAATTGGAACAGACTCAATGCTAACTGTTTCCCAACATTTTGTGTTTGAGGAGGGTGGGGCCTCTCTGCAGACAAGGTTTATAATGCTTTCTGTAGTGTGAGCCCAGAACTCAGACATTCCCAGTGCGGGCTTACTGAGCGGTCTTCTCGGTTCAGTGCAGTCACACACAACACCTGGAAGGCGTTTCTGTCCCCCCTTTACAAATGGGGACAGTGAAGGTCTGAGTGGACCAGTGACTGTCTTCCAGTTACGTAACTGGAAAGCAGAAAGATCCAGACCTTAGTCAGGGTGACCGAACGTCCAGAGACATTCCCCCACTGCTTGTCACAGATCAATAGGATTAAATGATCACTCCTTATCCACCCCAATCAGTTAAGGGCTGGCTGTGTAACTCTCAGCCATTCTCTTTGTTCAAAATGATCATGCTAGCAGCTTAATCTATTCGTACAAGGTTAAAATTGTTCTCTGCAGAAGAAATAATACGGCTTTCACCGAGTCATTATCCCCTGAGATGGATACTCCATTTCCCCCGAATGCTGTATCTATCTAACACATCTTTCAACGAAATGATTAGCAGTGTCGATGGCTTAATAGAAACCCTTCACCCATGGGCTGTACAAATTACTCACTAAATCGGGCCCTGAGCTTGACAGTGAGGTTACCTCCAGGGTTCTTCTAGGGTCTGGATCAGACTGTTGTCAGAACCCAGGCACTGGGAGGCAGCGAGGGTTCGTGAGGGAGACTGGGCCCTGACTTCACCCATCTGTCAGTGGAGGCATGTGTGTTGTTGTCATGCTGAACGGGTGTCATGGGAGTTTCCAGACTAAGAGAGACTAGGAAGAATGGCCTGATGATCAACTTCTGAAAATCAGCCAATGAAAACGCTGCAGATCACAACGGTCCAATCCACAAGTGATCATGGGGCTGGGGCAGGACCAGCGGTGTACATCCCACTGTGAGTTGGGGGCTGAGTGGATGCCAGTGAACAGCACTGGTGCTGGGGAGGCAGTGCCTGTCTACTCGCTGAGCACTGCTGGAGGCTTTCCTCTGGACCAGGAGCCACAAAGCTCTGTGGCTGCGTCCCTTGTCCTGCTCCACCCTCCCTCAGTGTCCCACTTCCTGTAGAAAGAAGCCCAGGAGCCCTGAGCGTGTAAAGGTTCAGGTCTGACTGCTAACTAAGATGGACTGTGCCAACAGGCCCATCCTCACCCCGATGGTGAGGGGTGCAGAAGAGGGCTGCATGTCCTTGAGTTACAGGTGGCCTCAGTACCAGGTGGAGCCAACTCCATGGCCCCTAACATGAGGCCCAGGACGAAGCGGCTAACGGCCTCTGGTTTTTCCTGCATCTGGTCCTGGCCAATTCTTACCTTTGCCGCTACTTCTTGGAGTCCTGGGATGGTGCTGTAGGGTAAACACTGAACCACAGGGTCGATCTGGACCACAAACTGGTGGTTCAAACCCACCAGCTGCTCCTCGGACACCATATACAGGGTCGTTGTGAGTCAGAACTGACTTGATGGCACATAAACACAACACTTCCTCTTTAAGTAAGCACTTACCTATGAATGGATTTTTCTGTAAAATGTCCCCATAACTCAGAATCAGATGCTCGCACATATGTCTAAGGGATAAGGGCAGGGAGGAAACACCTTCCTCCAGGGCAGGGGTCCCTAGGCTCCCCTTCTCAGTGGCCTGAAGCTGGTCAGGAGTCGTGTCTGTGGAATGGGGGATTGCTGAGCCAATCGGAAGACCACTGAAGATGCCTGTTCCTCAGGAAATTACTGCCTCTTTTCTCTGCCCAGCCTCCCACACACCCTCTGAACACGTTTTTCTGTGTCACAAACTGTGCCGACTACAATCCCAAACAGCCGAGGGAAAACGCAAGGACGTGGTCACCTGACGCACACAGACGAATTAAGGAAGAGAGTGCACCGGGCAGCTCCTGAGCTGCTCTCCAAGCCGCCACCTCCGGATGCCATCTCCAAGACGCTCTCCGGATGCCACCTGTTTCAGCTGCTGCTGAAGAGCCCACTCACTTCTCCTTCACACATTTCACCCCAAGCCTGGAGGCCCAGATCCCACGCACGTGCCTCCTCAGCACACTGCCTCAGGGTCCTGCCAGGCACTGGCCTTTCCAGGCACCTGTCAGACTTGGGGAAGCAAGGCCATTATTTGAAGTTGGTTCCTGGCATGTACATAAATGAAGGCTAAAGCAAGATAAATACAACCCCTGCTGGTTCTGAAATGTGAAGAAGCCAGAAGGACATTGAGCAGGACGGCACCGTGTCATTTAAGAGACCTTGGAAATGAATATCGTCACCAAAGCCCCTTCTTTAGGGTGCAGGCCACCTGCTCAGAAGCCTGTCACCCTTGCTGGGGCTGAAAGGTGAGGAGGGCTCACCTGGGGACTCTCTAGGGCAAGGACAAACCTTACCACCATCATCACAGTGCCGCCACCTCCCAGCCCCGGCCAGTTTGCTGTGGGCACCCTTCACTTTTCAAACCCATTCTGATAAGAGTAGAACTGGACTTTTATGTATTCAGCTGTGTCTGGGGAACAGCTTCTGCATACGTCATTAATGCCCCAAGAAGAGAAGGTGCCCCAGGGCCCAGCACGTGCCCAGTACACACCCAGAGGAGCCACTATTGCTTCTCCTCCAGCATCACTGTTCTCGGGACCTGGCGTGTTTCTGCTGTAGACCCAGCCTTCAGTGGTTTGGGAGACGCAGACAGGATTCAGAATGCCACCCGAAGAGGACACTGCCATGTTGTTATCATTAACACAGAGAATGTATGAACACACGATATACAGGCCTAATGAAACCAGGCTCAATGTGTGTAGTGTGTATACTGCATGTCCAGGGTATCTGCAGATGTGTGCCCATGTGCGCATGTCGGGTACATGTGTGTGCATGTAATGTGCAGGCATTGGATGTTGACATGTGATTGTGTTCTATATGTGTGTACACAAGTGTGCACATGTATGAGTATTGGCTACACGTGTGCATATGTATGTGCAGGCATTGGGTGTTGGCATGTTTGTGTGTCTGTGTATAAGTACTTATGTGTGCACATGTATAGGTGCCAGGTACACATGCACATATACGCACAGCATTGGATGTTGACATGTGATTGTGTTGTGTACTTATATGTGTACATATGTG